ATCTGGTCAAAAGTTGCGTCCTCAGATCTGGTCAAAAGTCCCATCCTCAGATCTGGTCAAAAGTTGCGTCCTCAGATTTGGTCAAAAGTCCTGTCCTCAGATCTGGTCCAAAGTCCCGTCCTCAGATCTGGCCAAAAGTCCCGTCCTCAGATCTGGCCAAAAGTCCCGTCCTCAGATCTGGCCAAAAGTCCCGTCCTCAGATCTGGCCAAAAGTCCCGTCCTCAGATCTGGCCAAAAGTCCCGTCCTCAGATCTGGCCAAAAGTCCCGTCCTCAGATCTGGCCAAAAGTCCCGTCCTCAGATCTGGCCAAAAGTCCCGTCCTCAGATCTGGCCAAAAAGGCCAGTCCTCAGAACTGGTCAAAAGTCCAGTCCTCAGATCTGGTCAAAAGTCCCGTCCTCGGATCTGGTCAAAAGTCCTGTCCTCAGATCTGGTCAAAAGTCCCGTCCTCAGATCTGGCCAAAAGTCCCGTCCTCAGATCTGGTCAAAAGTCCCGTCCTCAGATTTAGTCAAAAGTCCCGTCCTCGGATCTGGTCAAAAGTCCCGTCCTCAGATTTAGTCAAAAGTCCCGTCCTCGGATCTGGTCAAAAGTCCCGTCCTCAGATCTGGTCAAAAGGCCAGTCCTAAGATCTCTAAGTGACAAGTCATGAACACGAATCGGTGATAGGCCATATTTGGTCTATTTTTCAACGCCTTTGTTTTTGTGTTATGGTATATATGAATAAAAGCGAGGGACCGATGAGTGATGATGAAGGGGGATCTGAATGAGAGTGTGAGTGATGGGATTGCGTGAGTAAATAAGAACAGGTGAGTTACAGACTGCTTTGAATGTGCGTTTGTCAGAAACAGCATATGTGGCTGCTATTGAGATGGAAATTTATATTATTAGAGTGTGGAACGCTGAGAGAGAGAGAGAGAGAGGGTTAAGAGGAGGGTGATGAAGGAAATGAAGCAAGAATAATTGTTGAAAGATTGGTGTTGGTAAATGAACTTCAGCCCGTAACCTAATATCTACACTCACAAAAATGAGTTGAACTTTGCCCAAATAGCCATGCACTTTTTAGCGAATTTTCTCATTTATGGAAAAAATGCACTATTGTGCTCGCCATGTCCGTCCGTCCGTCTGTCTGTCTGTCCGTCCGTGACCTCAAATTTTCGTCGACGAGAAAATGCGCTCTCTGTCACTCACTGCAGTGAGTACTGAGTTATATTTTTTGCGCTTGTGTGGGTTAGCCAGTTTGGCCTGGCAAACGGGCGTATCAGTGCTACTCCGCTCTCTGCTCGTGCTGTGCGTTATGAAGTGTGTCAATATTTGGGCATTATGATTCGTTATTCATTCTGATTGTGCCCTGGGTTATTGCAGATTGGTTCAATTTGTCCAACTTTTTCTACATTTTGTTTAATGAGGCTAACCATGTATTCTTCAATAAGGTTTGTACTTTTCCAAATTACAGTATATAACTTGTTTGTTCAGTGTTATAATCACGAAGAAGAAAGTGCGTAACTGTGAGAAATTGTTGAAACAACGTTGTTTCAACTGTTCAACTGTGATGGCATCGAGAACAGCATCTGTTGAACGAAACAAGCTGATGTTATTCTTTGTTATTGAAATTGTATGTTCAGTGTGATATTCACGAAGAGGAAATAGATAGTGAACGCTTGTTCCTTAGGGAACACTTGCTACTGAGCCCGTCAACTGCTACTTGACATCTGAGAAAATAATTGCTTTGCAATCACGATTGCTTCGCTCTTGTTACTTGGTATATGCATTAATCAAGATGCATTATTATGCACAGATAGGAAAATAAAGAGATGCATTACTATGCACAGATAGGAAAAGAAAGAGATGCCTTACTATGCACAGATTGGAAAAGAAAGAAATACATTATTAAGCATAGATACGAAAAAGAACATGGTTCTCCTCCATTCACCAGGTGTGCATCTGTATGAGTTTTCAATAGAACGATGATATGAAATGAATTTGTAATATCCTGGAAAATAATCATCGTGAAGTAATCAGAATTTCATTAGTTTCTGCATAGAAGGACCTGAGATCGATCAAGTGAATGCGAAAATTATTCCATAAAAAGAAAAGACGTTAGGCAATCACAGCACATCGCATGTTCAGGTCAAAAGGATAAAAATATTTTTCATTCAGTAGAATCCAGTGAATACTTGCCGAAAAAGAATCGAGAATGTGTGAGATGAGAATTTATAAGTTAATTAAATCACTGTAATTCAGATGCAATAATTATTGATTTCCCGTTGCTGGGCGAAATTCCTGATATATATTAAAAATTTTTCCTTTATAGCTTACGATTCACAGATGAATTGGAAATTAACGAGATAATTCTATTTGTTAACGATAAAATAATATCGGTCGCTCAATTGTCACTTCCTTGCCGAATTTTTTTTTTTTCGCTTGCTAATTGTTAAATCTGAAAATTGGTAATGTTTTCTAGATGAAAATATAAAGTCACGCTGTTTATTGAGCACAATTATAAACCCAATTGAAGCTGACCTTAGATACGATCATATGTAGAGAAACTACTTCAACCATTAAGTTAAAAAATCTAACTTGAGTTACTCACTGCAGTGAGTGACAGAGAGCGCATTTTATCGTCGACGAAAACTTGGTCACGGACGAACGGACAGACGGACATGGCGAGCACAATAGTGCACTTTTTCCATAAATGAGAAGTTGCGCTAAAAAGACTGTGAAGCGTCCGCGTTAAATAACGATTAGTAAACCGCTTCACTTCTTTAGTTTCAATTTTGTCCAAAATGAATGGCAATTCAGCATTAAGATGTGGACGCATGCTTTAACTAGCTGACCTATCTAAAATGGAAATATTTTTAAATAAACGAAACAGTCCACTCCCCTTCAGCGGTTAAAAATGGAAACTATTGGACATCAATTATCAGGCTCTTAACAAAAATATGATGTTCAAAATAAATTAAGTCAAATAATTTATGAGAAAATATTTTCAGGAGAACAAAACAAAGGATATAAGTACCGTTTCATATAAGAGCTGAACCAATTTATTTCAGGCACCGTTTCATAAGAGGAACCATTTTATTTAAAGGTACAGTTTATTGTGGAGTAAACAAAAGCATTTAAGATTTCATAGGAACTGAGCCGAAGGATGTAAGGGACACTTACCTATAAATTTTTTTTATTATGCACGGAATTTGAGTGCAACCCAGAATTTGGTCCATAAAAAAGTGTTTGTTTTAATCGGGGCGAGGCTTTTAGTGTTTTTTCATAGTTATTTACTTACATATTTGTTTGCACGCGATGTCTTAGTCTCCTTCTTAAATTTGTAAACCGTGCGTATAACTGCGAAAAATCGACCCGGCAACCACCGAACACAGCATCTGTTGCATCAAACAAGTTGATATTCTTCTTTGTTCTTGAACTTTGTTCAGTGTGATAATATCGTTGCGGAAAGTTCTAGGGGAACACTTGCCATANATGGAAAAGTACCATTTAGCTACTAACACGAAATATGTATATTATTTGCACATATTTAGGATATCTTTACGACTTTTCCGTTAGATAGGTTCGCAAGTTAAAAGCTGAGGTGTCATCCGCAAAAAATAAAAGTTTCAGTCTCGTTCTAAGCAAAACCGTCATTCAAATTAATTCGAGGAGCCCCCCGGCGACGAATCTAAATATTGTCACTTTGACACCTCTAAAGACTAAATAATCACATTGATAGTACTACGTATGATCTAGGTTAGTTAGTTTAGTGGCCAAATGTTTACTAGCGCTTCAGCTATTTAGCTATCTCGCACCGTAAGTCAAGATGAACATCACCATAGAGCACTGAAATTAAAGACGTTGCTTCTTAAGTATAAGTTGCAGAATTTACACGCGTTTCGGGATATTGTCACTTTGACACCTTTAAAAGACTAAATAATTACATTGATAGTACTACGTATGATCTAGCACTGAAATTAAAGACGTTGCTTCCTAAGTATAAGTTGCAGAATTTACACGTGTTTCGGGATATTGTCACTTTGACACCTCTAAAGACTAAATAATCACATTGATAGTACTACGTATGATCTAACACTGAAATTAAAAACGTTGCTTCCTAAGTATAAGTTGCAGAATTTACACGTGTTTCGGGATATTGTCACTTTGACACCTCTAAAGACTAAATAATCACATTGATAGTACTACGTATGATCTAACACTGAAATTAAAAACGTTGCTTCCTAAGTATAAGTTGCAGAATTTACACGTGTTTCGGGATATTGTCACTTTGACACCTCTAAAGACTAAATAATCACATTGATAGTACTACGTATGATCTAACACTGAAATTAAAAACGTTGCTTCCTAAGTATAAGTTGCAGAATTTACACGTGTTTCGGGANTCTAGCGAATTTTCGATTGAAGCTATTTATTAACATTATTATTAAACAATGAGTGCCATATATTAGATTTTTTCCAGTGTTATTATTGGATGACGTTGAGACGATTAGTCGTACGAGAGCTAGTTATAATGATTAGCAATAGATTAGGTTGTTAAGATTCAATACTAGGTAATATATTGTACGCTCGCCATTTCACTATATATATATGTGTGGCCAAATGACGCGCATTTTGTTGGTATTTTAATACAACATTAATAGCAGGCTCAGGGTGTGTCAATACATAACAACGGGAATATACAGGGATATGACGAGTTTCACCACAGAAATGAATAAAAATTACTTTTATAGTTACCGATAATCAATCGAAGAGATTGGCAGTGAAGACTGAGTCTGAATGACTTAGAAGATGCTAAGTGAACGGCAAGTTTGTGTAATAACAAGCTCAATCATTGTGTACCTACACAATAAATAAATTTCGCAGAACGAGTGTATTACAATGTATCAGTTAAAGTTGGTAGAACGTATGTTGCTACGTAATAAATACTACATCAGCTATAAATAAATCAACAGAAACCTTAAATAAAAAAAAGCATGGAAAAATTTATCCAGCGGTAAGTTATCTGAATGAGAAATAAATAGCGAGAAGAATGATGATAAAGACGAAGACAAGCACTGCCCCGACGATGAAGCGGTGCTGGAGCGCGCGACGAAGCATGGCGCCCAGCACGCGGGAGCTGGTGTCTAGGTCCTCGTCTGCCTCGTGCAGCTGTGGGAACAATATTTAAATTAAAAAGGTATAAAATACAGTTGGAACTGTATAAAATACAGAGGAACTGTATAAAATACAGTTCCAGTTTTCAGCCTCTGAAAAATAATTTATTTTAACTGTTCAGGCTCGTGTCTGCAGCTGTGGAAACGAAGCTCTCGAATTCCATGTGCAAATATATATTCCACACCACAGCCTAAGCATTTATAAATATATATTTTACAATGACTTCTTCATGCTGTATGATTGAGCATATGCTGGACCAGTGGTGGGGTTCACTAATCCGCTAACCGTTAATTAGCGAAGCTTACGAATTCCTTAGCTGGTGTGCCAAACTGATGGCCGACTACGTCAACCAATCACGTCTTGAGTAACCTATCACGTCTTTTGTTACAAACGTGATTAGTTGTAGATAGATTACGTAGATTAGTTTTGTTTTTGACGTGATTAGTTGACGTACATATGTTGACGTAGTCAGCCATGAGTGTGGCACAGCGCTTCAGGAAAACGTCAGCTTTGCTAATTAGCGGCTAGCGGATTAGCGGACTGTGACCACCACTGTGCTGGACTAATGCAAAATAACACAATATGTAACAGCACTATCTGAAATTGGCTCTTGAATGCCGCGGAACTCACTCTACTTCTGGCGTTTTGTATGGTGCTGCGCTGATGGTGCAAGTCTCCAAGTATTTCTGCTCCAATGGCTTCAGTTTCCAATGCAACCTTCAAAACATAAATAATTATAATAAAGCATAACTCTAGCAGTGTAAAGCTCAAACATTATATTAAAATAACGTCATGGTTGAATTTAGACATTTAATGTAAAAGTACTGACCAGCAAAAAAAAAAAAACAATAAAGTAATGGGATTTTTAAAAAAATACTTATGCATAAATTTTAAATCAATTTCTACTATATTCATGCAATATTATAAATGTAGGATGGATGAGTTCATTGTTGTGGGAAGCCCCTATTTAATGATCATGCAAGAAATTGAAATTTTCCCCCTAGGGGTCCTGCAAACCCCCTTTTTCCTATGATGCAAATACATTTACAGTTAAAGTATAAAATAAATGAAGAGTACCCCATGATTGATAAGAGAAATTAAAGATAAATTACAGATAAGCAGCATAAAAATGATTCAATCAATTAGTCATGTTAAAGTTTTGTATATGTTATTTTTTGGATGGATTTAGTGCACTCCTTGGGTTCATCTTGTTTTAATCTCTTTTGTTTTTCAGACAGGGGAAATGCTGGCAAACTATTAGATGTCTTTTTTCAAAGTGGACCCTCAATGCCTCGGTTTTAATCTCTTTCACTTTTTCTTCCACTGTACATACTTTGTTATTTCTTGTTCTATTGATTCTGAATATTTTGTTAAACAAATACGAGGAAAAGGTCAGATAAAAAGGTGGAAAGGGATGGTTGAAGGGGTGGTGGAGACCATTAATAAATCTTGGTTTTCCTGAAACCTACACAACAAAAACACCCTCGGGACTACTACATGTCTGATACACCTGATAGTTAGCATCTTGTAACATTATGAAAAAAATTGAGAGGTCGAGTTGGGGAAAAACTTTTTCTTGATTAAATTGACAAAGAAACATAGAAAGAGAACAAAATAAATTTGTAAACACCAACTGAAGTGCATTGAAAGGTAAAAAATACAATCAATATAGTAAAACCAAATTGGTTGGGAATTTTTTGAAAAAATTAAGGAACAACCTGGTAGCTTCTAGTGAGTCTGGCTGAAGTGATATCCAGTTTGTCGCTGTCTTGCAAGAGTTGCTCCCGCATTTCATCTGGCAGGCCTGCAGTGCCACTGTACATGACACCATCCCTGCCCCCACTCAATAGCTCAATTCGTTCAGTCTCTGGAATGAGGGAACAAGGTAAGCATGGTACCTACATACAGTGCCAGTTTATAGAACATGCAGAATAAATTTAATGTCAAGTGANAACACGTGCATGCAACCTTGTATATAAGTTTGTGGCTTGTAAATAGTTTTTCATTACTCAGCATAAATGGCTTTTCATTAAAAATTACCTGGCGACGCATCTTGAAAATGGTTGGCAACACTTTGGGCTTAAAAACCCATATATTGTGACACTGCTTCCACCCTCTGCACCCTGACCCATTCCTAAGGCTCTTGACTAATTTCTTCCCTAAAACAGAATAAAAATGGCATATTTTGTCTTGAAATTTTGAAAAATTACCTGTCAAATGATGGTTTGCAATTGAAAATTTTAAAATGTTTGCTCAATCTTCCAGATTGGGTCAAAAACATTTTCTGAATTATTACCAAAATCTTTGGCCTTGGGGTTTGGGAATATTAAAATTTAAAATTGCATCTAATTATATTCCCTACCCATAGTCATGTTGAATCTACTTGAAATGCAACTATTTAAGACATAACTTAGTAAACTTACTGGGGCTGCCGTTTGCCAGCAGACATATTTTTGACAAATATTCCGTTTCATCTAAAAACAAAATTCCGCTCATATTGTATTGTCCTGGCGAAAAATATTATTCCATGCCACGTTAATGCTCGATATCCGTACGATAATATGAGGCATGAGTTCATGCAGACCCTATCGATGGTCCTACAACGATTTTCAATGGGAACTGTACCACGCGTTGGCCACTCTTTCAATATCCTTGAATACGATCGCCTTACCTCCTGCCTTCGGTCTTACTGACGGGCTTCTATGAGCTTTTAAGGCCTCCTGATATTTCATCAGGTGCCTCCCCATACAGAGACGTCTTTTATTGAACCTTGCTACCTGATCCTATATCATTGCTTACATAGAATGTGGAGCGAAGAACTTTGTAGAACTTTCTCCAGAATATTATTGGCTTTATTCACATTACACGCGGACATTAAATACTAATTGTGCTCATTATTTTACGAGCAGTGATTTTGAAGCATACCAATTTAGCGAAAGCGTCTTTTATTGAACATTTACAAGTTTATATCTGATTATGTTATTGCCAACAAATTTTAAGTCGTCATCTTACAGAATATTGGCATTATTATTGTTCGCCATTACACAAGAGTTACTTATTTCCCAAGAATTTAACCAGAGGTTCTAAAACATTGTCATTGCTTTACGAAACATCGAACGCGTGAACATTGAACATTTCCTTGTTGATCATACTATTCACATGTGATGAAAATAGCACTGTTATATATGCGTATTACATGCGAATTATCGTTGCATGTATTTTCGACAATAATTAAATTTTTTTGAACCCTTGCTTACGTTTTCCGTATAATATATTTTCAGAGTTACATTAAAAACTCCCTACATATTTGCCAATGTAATAAGAAAATAGCGTTAAACTGTTCGCATCATGTTGATCGAAGTTTAATTGGTTAACATTGGAACGCTGAATGATACCCCCATGGACGTCCTAAATGGCTTGCGTTATGTCGCAACATCAATTTAATTTGTTAATATTATACAAACGTGACGAAGTTTTCCCTCGTGTTAAAGCGTGAAATTTACCACGCACTTAACGAGAACATTTGCAGGCCATGTTGTCGGTCATTAATGATAATGATGTTTCAGAGCACGAGTTAATGAAACCATGGAAGTGTCTGTAATAGAACGCGCCGTTGTCTTCATTATCTTGTTTACAGGCTTTGTATTGTCCACTTTATGGCAAGGTTTTATTCTCCAGTGTGTTGCATTCTTAAAATATAAGCTCATTATTATTACTGCGCTGAATTCAAACAAAGGAATTAGTTAACATACATTAGCTTTAGGGTGTCGTTTTTGCTACTACAGGTCATACATATTACAGTATTAATAAGGTTAGTATTCTACGTCGACGAGATCATTGTTACCGGTGTTTAAAAGGCTTGATGACTGCATGTAGCCCTTCATGTTTGCGTAAGTTATTGTCCAATACTTATTGTTCAACATATAACAGCACGAATGAGTATTCCGTTACGAACGCTTCAATTAAAAAAAATAAAGGTCTGAATGCCTGGATGTACAATTGATTTCGCGAACTGTTGTTGTTTATTTGTCTATTGGGGATGTGGGGTTGTCCCCCATGTCCCTCACGTCTCAAGTTGTCACTAAGTCTTTACTTTTTATTTATTTTTATGTGAGAATTAGAAACTGATCCTTGAGGTACTAAATAAGGTTTAATTTGTGCCTAACCACTCTGAAAATTTCAGTAAAACGTGGTAAAGGGAACAGTGAAAATTCCATTTCGCGAACTCGTATTGTGCCGGAATTTTTCAACTGTCATCGGCAATATCCATGTGGAAGCCGTTTATATCAACGACGTTCATCTCTGACGTTGAATCACCGATGGCCATTATGGATCTATTCTTAAACGTTGGAAACAAATTTATAATTTTTCTCGTCGTGACACGTCGGAGGCGGCGATCCATAGTGGCCTGGGACGGCTACGTCCAAAACTCATACAAGGATACTAAGGACACGCTTCAGCCTCTAGAGGCTTCAGCCTTATCATTTAAATAAAATAGTATAGAATACATTCTCTAGGAAAATATTTACGGAAATAGAAAAATACGGAATTAGGTTTTTCGAGTGCGCTGGAATTCCGGATGTATTGTGCTCGTTCAGAACACTCAAAGAAATTAGTGGGAATACCGATACCTAAATACCGATACACTTTTTGCCCTTATGTGGGTCCTGATCATATTTGGCCCAGCAAAACGGTAACACAGTAGTAAGTGTTTCATTATTTGGACAATAATACTCGTTAATTTTCTGAGTATACGTCTTGGCAAGGCAGAGTGGCTGGCGTCTTCTAACTAGTATAGTTTCGTCATGTTTTATTATATTCATCATATATATTCGTGTTGTTTGCGAATATTTTTTAATATTTATCTTATTTATACGTGTTACTTGCAAGTCTTTTCTAAGTATGTGTGCTCTCTTCTACATTGGCGGAGTTCTGATGCAACCGTTCAAGTTGCACCATTTGTTAAGACTAGTCGGCAGTGCACTGCATGTGGTTTGTTTCGGTATTTTGGAGTACAAAGAAAGAGTACCTGTAGTTGTATTATATAGTTACAAAATTTATCTGATTTGTTTTCAACCTCATTATTTTTACAAAGGAAAAACAAGTCAGGCAGAGATATATAGTTTTTCAATTGAAGTATAGAATACTAGACCAATTTTTCATCAACGTAAATCTTTAGAAGGGCAGGAATATTTCCCAAGGTTAGCAATACATTACATGATTTGTGTGCTAAGTTGAAAATTTTATTATTATATTTTCATATGAATAGCTAGAAATTCCAGATATTCATATAAGTAGCAATATCACAACGAAACTACGTTACTTACACAACACTACTGCAATGTTTCGCTTTCAAAAAGCTCGTTAAGTTTTTACAAGGGTTGCAGCTGCTGACGCTTTTGCCCATAACGACTTAGGACTTAATTACTCGCGCTAACGAGCGAGATCAGTGACCGACTGATGAGCATTTTATGGCTTGCATCAGTTATCAGATTATTAGAACGTAACCCGTCAACACAGTTTTCTGTACAGATTAAAAAAAGTGAGCTGGTCCCATCTTACCCCATTGGGGTAAGATGGGATCAGGCTGGGGTAAGAAAGGACCAACAGGTAATTCTTATGTTACAAGGTTTTTAGTAAAAATATAAATCTGCTATTCAATATTATCCACCTAGAAACACATTATTTGATTAAACAACCACTTGTTACTGTTTTGTGTTGCAGGAAGTCAACTCTAATATCAGTCACATTGGAGTTTTGGCCACGAGAAAACTTTGTTAATCATCGTAATAGTGGGTTGGCTTTGATTCATTGTAGAGCACTGCCAAATGCTACATGTATATTCCATTAGTGTTCTTGTCTGAAAATTTATCAAATTGGTAATAAAACCAATAGATAATAACTTAAGAGTCGGACGTCATGCGTTATCTTGCTAACTGCATTTGTGGTGCACTTCTTCAAACATAGCCCATGCCCTCTCACAAAATTGTGATAATAATTATTTTTTTATGTTTCACACAATGATTTTTCCCCCAACCACTCTTGCACATTGTTCTGCAGCTAACTTATGGGAAGAGACATCCCTATTTTTTCATCCCCATGATGCAATTCACAATAGTATGCTAAATTTATCTAATTAAAAAAGCTAACAAGTTAGAATGGTTATTTTAAGCAGAAGATGAATATTTTGACCAAAATACTCCATGTATACTTATGCACAATGATATATTCATTTAAAAGCTATTTCTGATAAACTACGGGGTAAAAGAGGACCGTTTGTGGCAATTGTGGGGTAAGACAGGACCATTTGTGGGGTAAGATAGGACCACTTGTGGGGTAAAACAGGATCATTTAGTGGTCCTGTCTTACCCCATGTCCGGTCCTTTTTTACCCCATTTTAGAATAGTTGTCAGGCAGTGATGGTAGCAGGTAGGAATGCCTAGTATGTCTCAAAAGTTGCTTGTTACTTTAGGTTACCTGCCTACATCCACAAACCTGGCCAAAAAATTTTTTATAACCAGACACAGTTTATTTCCCAAATAGGGTTAACTATTTTGTGACCCTTCTCTACATAGGTTTTCTTTGAAAATTGACCAAAAATTAATTATTTGCTGAAGAGGGTTGAAACAAACACTAAAATGACAGGCAATGATTGCTCTAACATATTCTTTTGTCAAATTAAATTCAGTGCAATTAAAAATGCATGCAATGGGCCGGTCCTTTCTTACCCCATGAAGGCTGCGATCCTGTCTTACCCCATTTGACTATATATATAGTTATAATTTTGGTATCAAATAGTAAAATAGATATTTATTACTTTTCAAAATATTTGGTTCAAAATTTTGATGAAAAATAAAATTCTAGGATGGACATACAATGAAAGAAATTGTATGAAAAAATTGTATCACGTCAGTGAATTGTGTTGGCTTGATATCGATGTGCCGACCGAGTTTAATTGTATGTGGGTAGCCGCGTATTAGGAATTAAATTTAACATTAAAATATTTCTCTGTTAAAAAATTATAAAGTGACAAATTATTTATTTGCAAATTTATTTCAGTTCGATACGCAATCTGCGGCAGACTTAACGGTTCATTGAACTATCGCGTCTGGCAAAAATTCACGAAAGATCC